CAGAATTTTTTTCGCCCCAAAAAATCGGGTATGACCCGCCCTTAAATTTAATTTTTTGGGCGGGTTTGGGAATGCGTTTTATGCATTTTAGTTGATTTTTTTACTCGACCCGAAAAGCCCGCACGGCGGACAATTTTGGGCACAAAAACTTCGGCCCAAAATTTGGCCTGACTCGAGAAGTGAGCTGATTTTTTAACCTTGGCCCGGCCCACCCAATGATCACCTACATCTTTATCAAACACGAACATGTTCTTTTTTTGTCAAATATAATGTTCTTTTTCAAACACGTTCAACACCTAAATAACCATGAAAAATAATATGTTCTTTTTGTAAAGACTTTATGTTCTTTGTAATGTCATGTTCTTTTCAAATACAAACATGTTCTTTTGTTAAACATAGGTATGTTCTTTGTCTAACACTAGCATGTTTTTTTTTTGCCCATGTTCTTTGAAAATATGTCTAATGTTCTTTCCGGGTGCACCATGCGCATGGTGCACCCGGGTGCACTATACTATTTTCAGTTCCAAGTAAAAGAAAGAGGGAAGAAATTTTTGTGAAGTGGGTAGCACCTCGAGAGGGATGGGTAGTGCTTAACTCGGATGGAGCCTCTAAAGGAAATCCTGGCAAAGCGGGTGGAGGAGGTTTAATTCGAGGTCATAGGGGAGAATTGTACGAAGTATATGCTGTCAATTGTGGGATATGCTCGTGTACAAAGGATGATTTATTGGCTTTCCTTTGAGGTTTGGCTATTTCCTAGAACGGAGGACATAGGAAGATCCAAGTGTGTGTGGATTCAGAAGTTGTAGTTAGAATGTTGGAAGAAGATAACTCTCCTTATATTCATATTGTTCGGAAGTGTCGTGCTCTCATATCTTGTGAAGGTTGGCAAGTCACTATCTAACATGTTCATCGTGAAGCAAATCAAGCTGCAGATTGGCTTGCCAATTTTGGGGTCAAAGCGTCTCTACCTATGACTTTCTTCTCGGCGGTCTTGAAGGATCTTTGGACCGTTTTATTAGAGGACTTGGGAGGTGCTTCTCCTTCAAGGATGGTACCGGGAAGGACTTAGCTACGATTAGCATAGTTAGGGTCTTAGTGGTAGTTTGTTGTTTGTTTTTGTTCTTGTTTTTCTAGTTTTCTTTTATTTCCTTTTTGTGTTGCTTTTGGTTTTTGTTCTTTGTTCTGGGCTTGGCCCACTTTCTCACAAAAAATAATAATAATTAAAATTATAATTAAATGAATGATTGAATGATTCAGCTTAGTTCTGTGATCTCATGTATATTATGATGGACATTGCTTCATATGTTTAAGAAATATTCGAATACCATTGAGGCTGCTGATTGTATTTGCTGCAAATTAGGGGTGAAAAGAGAATGAATAGCTTGATTATTATTCATCGATAGGTGGAGTATTTATACAAAACCTAGGCTTATAAGATAGGAAACAATATTCCTAAAAGATATACTATTATAATCATAAATCCTAAAGATATATTATCTTAATAATATTTTAACATAAAATAAACCTAAATATATTATTCTCTTAATGATATCTACGAAAAATATATCACACATATATTTTCCGATATCTCATATGTCTAACATCTTCCCGCAATCGTAATGGCAGTAACATGAACTTTGCGATTAGAAATTCTTCACTTTGTTAAAGCCGATTGAGTTGCCCTACTCTGTTGATGTCGCCTTCAATTTTTTTTTCTTTTTGAATGATGAGAATGTTCATCTTTTCGAACCCATCAATCATCAAACAAGCAAGAACGTCATTCTTATCGAACCTGCAAACAAACATTACAACGAGAACGTCTCTTTTTCTCGAACTCGTCATATTTCATTTGGTTTTTCCTGAGCAAAACCAAGCTCCAAACAAATATTGGTTTTTCAGAGTAAACCACACTCAAAACATTTAAAACCCTTGTCTCACGATACAAAGAGAACCAATATAAACCTGGTCTCACGGTACAAGGAGAACCGATATATCTTGTCTCACGGCACAAGAGAACCGTTTTTTTTTAAAAAAAAAAATCAAATCAAGGTCAAAGCTAAGGCCCTAATTCAATCACCCTCGTCAACTACAGAAACCCACACAAAAAAATTCCTCCCATGGTTTAAATGGAAGCATCACAAACCACAAGCAACTAAGTCTCAATAAAAATTAACATCACGCATGATTCTTTTGGTTAAAGTTTTACCCTACCGGTAGGTTTAATTTTCTAACCCACTAGCAGGAGGGAAATTTTTGTGAAACCCTCCCAAGATCTAACCTGCTCTTACCATGACAAATTAGGGGTGAAGAGAGAATAAATAGCTTGCTTAATATTCATCGATAGATAGAATATTTATACAAAACCTAGGCTTATAAGATATAAAACAATATTCCTAAAAGATATACTACTATAATCATAAATCCTAAAGATATATTATCTAAATAATATCTTAGCATAAAATAAACCTAAATACGGAGTATATTATTCTCTTAATGATATTTACGGAAAATATATCACACATATATTTTTCGATATCTCATATGTCTAACATTTACCGCCGTGTCAAATAATAAAGGAGCCAAAGCTTGTATTTAAATGTTACGTGACACATTGATAAAATTAAAGAGTTTTCCTAAAGGAGCTAAAGCTTGTATTTAAATGTTATGTGACACATTGATAAAATTAAAGAGTTTTCCTAGCATGCTTAAAACTATGTGGAACTACCCTAATGACATTGTTATTTCCCTACAAAAGAACATTCTCCGGGTGATACTCAATGAAACATACTATTCAACGTTTTGGTGAAAGGAGTGACCCTCGATGGGCCTAGCTAGCTTTTTCACTAGTAAGATGACATGTAACAGTCTAACAACTATGTCACATGTTTATAGTTTTAAAGTGGTTGATTATAGTCGTAATGGCGAAACAACCATGACACTTAATGTCCATTAATTAATGCTTTCTATGTATGATCTTTGAATTTATGATCTTAAGAAAGCAAAACAAATTAGGGTTTAGGTTTGTAAGAAATCTGATAGGAAACTAATAATTAATATATTGAATATGTCGCTTTAATTATGGTATTCAAATTTAAGTAATTATGACCAATGCGGGCTTAAAACTGTTAAATTCACAAACAATAGTTAAAAAAAAGTGTGTAAATAATGAAAAAAATCCTCAAATGTCAAGATTAAAAAAGAATAATGGTGGAAATGTATTACATATCAAAAAGACTTTACTAAAAAGAATTGATAAATATAATCAAAGAAAGAAAAGGATGGCATTAAAGAAATCTTGAGTGATGATGTTACTTTAATAAATATGTAATGATTTTACTTTAATCTTGTTAATCGGATTAATTGAAATATTGATTATTGACTATTGTGTTTTATCTTGAAATATTATTTATTGGTGAACATATATCCTATTCTTTTAATTATTGATTTTCTCCCTAGTTTAATTATTGCTAGGGGTGGTAATTTGGGTTAGCAGGTTCGGTTCGGTTCATATTCTGGTCGATTTTGGGTTATGCTTAGAAACAATAAAAAAAATAGTGTAAAATTTAATACTATTACGAAATATGAAATTTTGGTCAAATCCGGTCGAATTCGAGTTATTCGGGTTTGAATCGGGTCGGCTTCGGGTTTCTCTCAGTTACTTCGGGTCGGGTTTGTTCGGTTTATCGGGTCAGGTCAGGGATTGACAGCCCTAATTATTGCTTTAGTTTATTAATAATTCACAAATCACGCGTTCTTGATAATTTAGATTATATTACTTAACTAGGAATAGAACACATGTTCTTAGTGGATTCAACCCTACTTCCTTGACTATCTTATTAGTGGATTTTAGGATTACTTTTAATTAGATCCTACGACGTACTTTAGCCTGCCAGAAACCCTTCGAATGACTGTGCGAGTTTCCTTCATTTAATTTGTTGCTTTGATTGCAACACGTAGCCTCAAAGATATAGCCTTTTTTCATGTATTACCTTGAATCATTTTATTTGTTTACTATATACTTATAACTTGTGATATATACTCATCCGCATATATTTTTCTATACGGAGTTTATGGTAGAAAGCATAGGTTACACTATATAATTTATCTCCACATAACTATTCATTTCAAATACTTGGATCATTATTTTTCTTATTTATATTTCAATTCAAATTAGTATACATTGAATTTTAATAATCATTCTAGTTAATTCCAAAAAATATATTGAAACAATAAATGACCACACAATCACACATTGCATATTTTTTTTATAAAAAATAAATATCACAATTATGATTGCTTGGGATTAGTCTAAGTAATAACGAGTTTATATTATTCATTAAATCCGATCCATAGTAGATACACCTTCTTTTTCCACTTCGATTACTAAATAGCGATTTAATAGGCAATCTATAATATAAATACACACTCAAGTTTCATCTCTTTTGATTAACGGTCGCTCATTCCAACAAAAAGAGAGAAGAATTAATGTTTGTTAAATGTTAAGGGGATGATATAATTACTGAAAAAATTATAAGAGAGAAGATAATGCAAGCTTGAATAATACAACATTTGCTTTCTCTTATTATTTAATTACGAGTATAATAATATTAATGAATTAAATGGATCATTCTAACACCAGCAACAAATTAAAGGAATAAATAAACAATAAGAAGTAAATTTTACTAAAATCATTGAAATATTATACGATCCCAAATATATAAATAAAACATAAAATAACGTTGTAAAATTTAAATAATTATTTTATAAAAAAAAATTATTATTCATAAATGCACATATTATCCTAATTTTAGATTGGACTAATGAATCACTAACTAGTCATCAAAAAGGATAAAGGTCTAATATATACAATAACAAGGTTACATTCATTGGATTAAAGCTTATCCAGTTCGATGACTAGTTAGTGACTCATTAGTCCAATCTAAAATTTATATCTGTCCTACGTCAAGAAACTATTATAAATACATACTCAAGTTTCATCTTATTGCATCAACCACTCATTCCAACATTAAGATAGAAATATTTGTATAATGTTGAGGGGATATTAGAGTTTACAAAAAATTATGGTAAAATTAGTTTTGAAAAAACTAACTAGATAGATAATAATGAAAGGATTCATCATTTGCTTTTGGATATGGTTGATTGTTGTCCTGTCACCCCTCAGATTTGATTATGAGGACGCGAGTGCAACTTCGACCGTGGTTACTCTGTCTAATTGTCACTACGACATCGGCTTGTAGGTACATAAACTATACTTGTTTAATTATTTAATTTATGCCATTAATTGATTTATATAATGAAGTCTTCTTATAAACTTGGTGCCAACATATGACAAACAAATTAAAATATTAGGCTTCTATTGCAACGAATATGAAGGGGAAATCAGGTAAGCAACATCGTGAACGATGTTTTAACCAGTTACGGCCATGTAGCAATTCAAGGTAATTAGATTATTTTTGTGTTTTTTTTTAGGTAATTTGTGAAGGTTTTTTTTCATTTTTTTAAAAAATTTTGTATTTACGCCTATTACGAGATTTTTTTTTTTTAAAAAAAAAAAATTGAAGTCATTTTAGTATTAATAATAACATGCTAAGAGGTACCATATAAAAAATTAGAAGGAAAAAAAATTAACCAATACCCGCCATCAACCTAGAATCACCTAAGAAAAATACTAGCAATGTGTATTAGGAAATCTATTATATAATTTAAGAGACATTTTTCCAACTTTTAATCACAACACTCCAAACTTTTAATCTTCAAAAACTGTTAACTTTACCTTTTTTATTTTTTTTATTTTATAATTTTTTTAACCTATCAATTTCCATTATAATTTCCTATTCTATAACTTCCACTAAACAAATTCAATAACTCCCATAATAACATTGACATATACAATTAACATATTTCGTGCTTTAGCGCGGGTGCACTCTAGTAAGTATAAGTATATGAAATACTAACATATATAATAATTAGTACGAGTAATTGATATCTATCCGACACGTGTTGCTCTCCCTCATTTATGGAATCAATCATAAATAATCAATCTTCAATATAATTTATCCATTATGTACAGGATCATCAATTAAATATTTTAAGATTTGTTTCGACATTAATTTGAAAATGTTAAAATTTGAGATCAACTACATAATTAATGATATATTTATGTTATATTTCAAATAAAAACTTTTATTGATTACTGATCAATAGTATACATCTCTAATGCAATCTTGATATATTTAGGGAAATTGCATTAGTGGCTTGTGCTAAAGTATACGTACAGTATTTACTTCTAACATGTGCAACCTTATTGTTAAAATAAAACTCTAGAAGTCCCTCAACACTTCTTTCTTACAACCTCCTATTAATCCACTTTTTTCTTATCAACACTGAAACAAAGCAGCAAATCCAGACAGGAAGTGTCGCAGAGAAGGCATAGTGATCGACCTAAGGGAAGAGATTTCACAGAATCCAAGAAGCTTGCCAGAGATATTGCAGGACCAAAAGAGGAAGATAATAGAGAAAGATGTGGTGACTAGTAGTAAAGAGGCAAGGCTGGAGAAAACTCAACATAAAAACAAGGAAAACAGGCCCATTGTGATGGTTATTGAAGCGAAAAAGGAAGTGGAACAACAGCAGGGCAAAAAAATTAAGGTTAACAAAGACAATAGCTATTGAAAAGGTCGGGTTCAAGCTAGTGCAGAAAAAAGCACCAGATGAGGTCAAGTACAGGCTAGTGCAGGAAAAGACCCCATGAAAGGTCAAGAAATAGTTGGTGAAGGCATACGCTCAAGAACAGGTTGGGAACAAGCTAGTGAAGGCGGAAGCTCCGGAAAAGGTGAGATTCAAGCTAGTGAAGACAGAAGCGTCGGATGTGGTCAAAAACAAGCTAGTGTGAAACTAATAATACAGATAAAATATTTACTAAAAGTATGAGAAAGAAAAAACATAAAAAACCATAAATGAACAAATTTAGGAGGGTTTCCTTCCCACAAAAAATAAAAAACTAAAAATAAGGGCATGTTCTCTTACGTTGAAATTCAATTCAGTTCAGTTCAGTTTAGCTCATTTCAGTTCAGTTCAATTTAGTTCAGCTCAATTCAGTTCAGTTCAGTTCATCTCCTAATTTCCTTCTCTTATTAAATATTCATTTCAGTTCAGTTTAGTTCAGTTCAATTTAGTTCAGTTAAGCTCAGTTCAATTCAATTCAGTTCAATTCATTTCAGTTCAGCTCAGTTCAATTCAGTTCAGTTCAGCAGAGTTCAGTCAATGAGAACAGACCCTAAGCGCAACTTTATTTTTTTATGGGAAGTGAGAACAATTGAAAATATAAATTTATGTGGAATAAAAGGTGGAGCAATTATTATAGGGTAGTTATGATAGATAATTTTTTTTAAAAGAAAATAATTCTTAATTTTTAATTGTAAATAAGAGAGGTAATTTTGCGAATTGTGAAGGGCATTTTGGGAAAAGTAAATGTATCACCCAAAAAGTTATTTCCCTTTATATTGTACTATAGATAAGAAGAGCTCTCATCAACCTTTTGCAACAACATTTAAGTTTGTGCTTCCTCTTCTCCACCTTTGCTAGCGTATGTTAACCAAATTTACATCGTTTCTGTAACACCGTGCAGTGTATGTTATTGCTTTGTGAGAATGATATTTGAATTTCTTATCTTGAAATGTTGCTTTCAATTATGGTTTTTGGATTTAGGATAATTATCCAATTATGTATTATATGGATTTGACATATTCTAAATTAAACTAGTAGTATGTTAATCATTAATAGTATTGATGAGGAAACGTGATAATTAGGTTTCAAAAAAAAAAAGGAAACATGATAATTAATGTTAATATTAATGACTCGAAATCTTTTTTTGTTGGTGATGTTAAATGTGACTTATGAATATAAGCCTTTACATAATATAAAGTGAGTTAATTTGTCAATTTTCTTTCAAATTTTACCTAATCTCATGTTGTTATATTTGGCAATCAACATAAGTGCGAGTATCCAACCTGCTAGTGCTAGATGGTAGAGTAAGTTATTGTTACGGAATATGTAAGAATTTGTTATCCAATAAAAAAAGGGATACTAAATGTATTGATAGCAAATTAATTACTTGTTATATCTAAGATCGTTATTCCTTAATTTTAAGGATTTTTATCTCTTATTTTAATCTCCACCCACACCTATATCTTAATTTTATCACAAAAAGAGACTAGTGATGTACTATAGGCTTGTCTATAAAAAAAAAATGTGCAATCAATTTATTTGGTATCAATGTGTATATATGTAAATGAGATTGTTTTTTTTGTTAAGGGAAATATAAGAAAAGGTTAGGGGAGCTCTTTCAAGACTTTCTAACTTATCCGTGATAAAAAAAAATTAAAAGTATATCTATAAATAGTTCTTAAGCAAATAAGGTATTTCATAAGATAATAAGCTTAGCCTGAAAAATTTCTTGCCATAACAAAGCTTGTACCTTTGAGTAATTTTAATTTTTATTTATTTATTTATTTTTTTTTTTACATAAGCTTAAACACACCAACTAAACAACATTATCAAAAGAAGATAAGATATTATTAGCCGTGGTTGTGAGGATGTGCGCCTTGTCTACACGATCGCTCTGAACCTTATGGATGCTACACCATGCAAATGCCTTACTAGCTCGGTGAATGTTATCAACTTCCATCGAAGACTTACATCTGTGATTGTATTGTCCGTGAGAATCCTTTGTAGAGAAACAGAATCCGTGTAAATTATGACAGCATGTAGTAAACACATTGCTCCCCATCAAAGACCTTCAAGACATGCATTCATCTTCGCATGTAAAAGCTAATTAAGCCAAACTGTAAGCCGCACCTCCCAATTCTCCTCGAATACCAAACTCTATAGCCTCCGGGCACCACCCCATTCACGATTTATGTGTATGCTTGTTCCATGAGCAATCTACTAGTATTTCTATTCTAAAAGGACCTTCCTTGCCGTCATTTTGTAAAACAACACGCCAAAATCCTGGTGGGTGATCCAAACTCTCTTCAGGAGGATGTAACCACATTAGATTGTTTCTTGAGCCCTCTGAAAATGAACCTGCTACCTTAGGCCTTCTGAAATAATAACTGGCATTGACCCGTGATCGCTGCTAGTTGATCCAGATATTCTATTATTTCGTGCAACCCACAACCCCCCAAAGTGCAGCTATAAAAAAAAGTGGTTCGATGACCATTGTTTCCATCGTGGCAAAAAAAAAAAAAAAAAAAAAAAAAAAAAAAAAAAAAAAAAAGCCTGATATAGTACAAAATCTAGTTAAAAAATGGTTGGTCTGCATTTGCTTTTGAGTGGATATGCAAAATCTGAAAAGATGTTGTAAATATTCATCACCTAACCGACCTAAATCACAACTAATAAGATCAATATCCATCTCAAATTACTCTTTGTTGCAATCCTGTTTAATAACATTTTCCACATAAACACCTTTCATTTAGGCAAGATGTTGTGAGACCACAAAACCTTAAAGATGTTTGTCAAACTATTAGGCAGCAAACCTCCCTATGATTGTTTTAGGAAAGTGTAGCCTGATTTAACCTTATAGCTGCCATATTTGTGAAACTGCCAATACAGAAAGTCCTCCTCCGTGTCCTGATCCGGTAATTCCAAACTCGCAATTATAGTGGCATTGTCCTTCTCAATACAAGATACCAGTCTAGCATGATTTCACCCATTACGTACTCAAGGGTTTCATGAAATCACTTGATTTCTATTTCTTATTAGCCTGGGAAAAACTAACATGAGACTTGAATTCTAGCACGCACCTTACCCTCCATTCATATATCTTTTCCTGCCACTATAGATTTCCCATTCCCTAACTTCCAACTACAGCCCTTGGTAAGTAGGTTTCCTGCTCTTGCAAGACCACACATACCCTACGCATAATATTTGTGTTGTAGAGAAACTTGACTTCCTTTGCAAAGTTAAGACTAAAAATGTGCTAAGTAGGCTTTTGGAAGAAGCTATTGTGGATTATGGCTAATTCTCCATGCTTGCTTCATCAAAAGGGATTTATTGAATGAACCTAAACTACAAATTCCTAGTCCCCCCATTCCCTTTGGAAGATGCATTGTCTCCTTAGCTTGTTCACCCAGTGCATACCCTTGTAAGAATAAATCACTGAAAAATATACAATTATAAATAAAATTTTTAAAAATAAACATGACATATTAAGACTTAAATAATTATCATTATTTAACAATAAATTAAATAATCATGAATGCAAAGAATTTAACCTTATTTCACTATATGTAATAATGAAGTTACATTCTTTTGATCCAATTCCTTATTTATACACTATCCTATCCACTTTAATTTGATGACTCATTAGTGATTCATTTGACCAATATGAAAAAATGACTCATTAGTGATTCATTTGACCAATATGAAAAAAAAAAAAAAAAAAAAAAAAAAAAATCTTCTTAGGTTTAGTAGTTACTATAAATTCATACTCAAGCTACATCTCATTTCATTAGCCGCTTATTTCATTAAAGGAGAGAATGTTAGTAAGATGTTGAGAGGATGTTAGGATTTCTTGAAAAAATTGTTAGAGATAATGTAATGCAAGAATGGAGCATCATCTTTTGGTCAATATTAATTACATTATAGTCACTTTAATTTATTTTCGGATTTGATGGCGAGGATGCAGGGGAAAATTTGATTTTATCTTGTTTAAAATGAATACCCCTAAAGGTTTTATTATTACAAAATAATTCAAATGATGTATTATTAAAAAAGAATTGATCAAAGGTTGTATTATTTTTAGCAATTTTTCCTTAAAAAAAATGTTGATAATACCAAAATATATATATATATATATTGTTTGAAGAAAGGTTTAGTGCCAATTTCATTAATCTATGGATAATTTGTCCATGGGAACATAAGAGGAAATTGCAGGAGGGCAACAATACTCCCAAATCTGTTCAGAGCCAAAAGGCACAAAACTAGCTAAGTGATGCGCAACAACATTCCCATCCCTTTTAACATGAGACCAAGACACAAAATTAAAAAAAAAATACATGAAGAAAGAATATCATCTAGAATTTAGAATCGAGGTCGGAAAAATAAGTAGCTGCTTTTGACAGGCGAGATATTACAACTTAACAATTTGATTCAACCACCACCTTCTTGAAATCGTGCCTGCGAGCCAGCTTCACCCTAAAGAGAATGGCTTTGCACTCAGCTATATCGGGGGGCCAGCTGCCTCTTGATCTTCTAACACATGCACACAAGACTTCCCCATTACTGTCACGCAACACAGCCCCCATCCCCACCCAATCTTTCACCTTGAGGCTGGCATCACGGTTTACTTTCACAAATTCAGAAGGTGGGGGACGCCACACCTTTGAGCTCTTCGATCTCCTTTTCACAGGCAAGCTGTAAATTCTTGATGCATATTTATCATAATCTTCCACAAGTCTTGTGACTCTCTCACACACCACCAAATGAGGAATATCTTTATTGTTAAAAAATTTATCGTTTCTTCTGCTCCAGATAAACCACATTAAAGCAGCCCCTTTCAAGCAATTTTTCTTGTCTTTTGAACTCTAGCACGCCAACCAATTCTTCAAATCAATATGGGGTCAGCACACACTAGTTCATCACACTCGCACTCCCTCCACAGATCCCTCACAACAGGTCAATGAAAGAGAGCATGGGCAGCAGTTTCAGGCTCAGTAGCACACTAGGGACAGAGCTCAGTATCTAGCATGTGTCGACTATGCAGTAGCACACGAGTGGGGAGATAATTGGTGCACACTCTCCGTGATAATACTATTTAATACCTTTAATAAAGTAAGGAAAAAAATGTCAATTATGAACTATATAATCATTAAAATATTATAGTAATAGTACTTCTAACTAATTTTTGATGAAAAAAAAAACCCTAGCCTTCTCTCTCTCTCTTCTCTCTCATAAACTCTAGCCTCCTTTGTCAATTTTGAAGGGGCTTCCATCGGATTTCACCAGTGAAAATCCCCAATCCTTATTTTCTTGTA